CTCTCTCTCTCTCTCTCTCTCTCTCTCTCTCTCTCTAGCTTGATGTTCTGTGGCGCTTTGCAGCCAGCGCTTCATTTTCGGAATCGGACTCAGCAGAGGGAGCTGTTGGAGGTGTCTGGCGGCGTTCGGTAGGCCCTGAAACGGCCAAAAAATACCGGGGCCATTTTTTGGGGGCGGCCTAGGACCCGAAAAACGTACTAGGACCCCCCAAACAATTTTTTGACTTTTTCAAAATTGGGCCCAATCCAGACCTACCGGACCAGACACCGGACCCATACCCAGACAACCGGACCGTCTGGATTCCAGTCCAGACGTCCGGCCGGTTGCCATGGAAAAAAAGCAAAAAATCAGCACAATATGACAGTTTCGGTGCAATTCGGTGCAAAATTCGTCGAAAATAACAACCCTGGTTAACCGCTTGTGGCGAGGGAGTGTGTCATTCTCGCGAGAGCGTTGTACAGTATTAAAGTCTTTTTGCGGAGACTACATCTTCATTAGCCCTACTATTTGACGATATATATATACGATATATATATTATATATATATATATATATTAAACAAACTTTCTCTTTTCATTTTGCCCAACGCTCCCTTTTCACTGTGACTGACTGCGTCTTTTGACTTTGTTCCAACCATTTCTTTTGGCTTTGGCCTTGTTCCGGTGACTGATACAGTAGGCTGGAGTATGAGGTGAAAAATAATCAAAAAATATTGACAGACGAAAAATAGCGTAGCGGATATAGATGTCCCTCATATGAGGAAGAAGGAGGGAAAAAATAAAAATAAAAAAGATAAAGTAGGCTGGGGTACATGACCGTACAGCCATCTGTCAAACTCAGTTTGTTGGAAACTTATCATGTCGAATTCCATCCGTGGTGGACCGTAGTTTGCCTTCATTATTATAATAGCAGTATATAGTCATTGCATGTGTATTCTGATTTTCTTACCTATGCTGATTTCACTTCTCCCAGTAACTGTCATCGATAAGGCGACGGGGTTCTATCAGCTTCGCCTCCTTGGATATTTCGAGACTGAGTACGCGCTCTCAATACTTCACAATGGAAGAGACCGGATGTTCTTCAACGGGCGTCCTCATATATTGTGGAGGGTTCGAGATGGTAAAGATACTCTGCTTTGAAACTCTCTCTATATCTTATGAAAGCATCATGTGACATGCATTTTACTCAATCTTCTTCTTCTTCTTCTTCTTTTTTCTTGTGTTTTTGGGCATTGTAGTCAATCTTCTTCTGATGAAACAATGGGGCAAGGTCAAGGAGAAAAGCTGAAGTTCTGTCATAAGCAAAAGGACATAATGATGAACATCAAACAATTCTCACAGGACTGGCGGAGCAGGAAACAAGGGGGATGGACAGGAGAGAGGGGGAAGGGGGGGGGAGAGGGGGGAGGAATGCAACTTTTGGTTTGTCAAAATAGGTATGGATAGAGTGGTGGTTTAATTGACACAGGGCAATGAATGATAGCCAATCTGCTCTGTTGTTGTTGTTGTTGTTGTTGTTGCAATAAAACCGGGTGGGGCTTTACTAAGGGGAAGTGGAAAGAGAAGCTGATCCTAGTAGGACTCCCGCTCGTTGCTTCATCTATAGGTGGGGAGCCTCACCTGCTGGAAAGCGGGTCCAGCGCCCCTTTAAACATGTTATGTTTGAAATGGCATGCGTATCATGATCGAGCCGACCCGGTACCTCGTCGCCCTGCTCCATGGCGCCAGATCTATAAAGTCTAGGTCTAGTACCTTAGTATGAGATTGCGTGGAAGCCTCCAGAACCCTGAACCTTAAACCCTTACAGCCTCTAACTGATGCTGTCCTTTGCCAATCTGCTCATTAGCATTAGCAAGTCTTCAGTGGCACAGGGAGGACCTGTCACACCACATTTCCGTGATAAAGAGGAAGACAGAGGGAAAGAGAGGGGGTGGGGGAGGGAGGGGGTTGGAGAAGCTGGCATGTTTTCCTTCTTTCCCCTCCTTCTGGAAACATTCTGGCGGTGTCGCTGTGTCTTATGTATTGGACATTAATTTCCGTTTTCACTCCTTTGGAGTGGCTTTCACCTTTTGCATATGCCCTTTCCCTCAACTCTCCAGGGGCCTCTCTATTATTAGCTGAATGGTATTCCCCTATGAATGAGCTGTGATTCTATTTTATCGTTTTTGTTTGCTTGATTACTTTTGTATGTCGATTGGATCGATTGATTGATTGATTGATTTGTGATTGAATTGATTTAATTGACTCAGTGATTGATTGCTAGATTGAAACATAAGTCTGACTACTTTGATTTGATTTTAATTGGTTGGTTGGTTTGACGGCTTTGATACGATTCAACCACTACTGCCTAATGAGCCTATAATGTTCAATTTCAGTTTCCGACAAGGACGGGCGTCCCAAACCTTAGTAGAGGCTGGGGGCTTCATAAAAAGAGTGCGATGGAAACCTCCAACTGTCCTGATCAGGATCCGATGGTCAGCGCTTGGCATCGCGGTTTTTGCCGAGGAGACCACTCGGCTGGTACCAGTTCATCTTGCTGCCTCCTTGCGTGACAGTGGCGGTTTGGCTTGGCTGCTCAGGCACTGGTGGCTTAATGAACTGGTTTCATTGGATTGATTGGTTGATTGATTGGTTGATTGATTGGTTGATTGATTGGTTGATTGATTGGTTAATTGATTGGTTGGCTGGTTGACTGTTTCATTGATTTCGCATCTAGTGCTCAAAATTGTTGGAGGGTAAGTTGAGTGATATCAAATATGGAATGCCTGTCATTGAAGTAGTGGTGTGGTCTTTTGTTGAAACCATTTTCATTGTGCAGTGGGGACTCTGTTGGCGATCATAGGAATACAGCCCGCCTCAGGCCCCTTGAGCGGTGGTACACGTGTCCAGTTGTTTGGGAAAAATTTCAATGTCAGTGAAGTCGTGAACTCCACTGCCATGTGCTACTTTGACTCTCCATTGTCCTCCAGTGTAGCCGTCGTAAATTTCACTTCCAGCACCGCGGTCTGCAATTCGACGGAACAAACAACCGCTGGCCCTGTTGCAGTAACTCTTGCCTTCATTTCACAGCCTCCTGTGCAGATCACCTTCGAGAATTTTCTGTACTATGGTAAGTGCTCTCTCTCTCTCTCTCTCTCTCTCTCTCTCTCTCTCTCTCTCTCTCTCTCTCTCTCTCTCTCTCTCTCTCTCTCTCTCATGCACACACACACACACACACACATACACACACACACACACACACACACACAATCAGTTTGTGTATATCTTTCTCTGTGTTCTCTGTGTCTTTCTTTCCTTTGATTTTTTCTTACCTGTTGCCCGTCTTAGTGAGCACCTCTAAGCAGTGTCAAACAGTACGTCATTCAGGGGGTGGCGCTCAGCTCGGGATGTCCATGTTTCCTGTGGGTGATGACGGATGTTCGTCTGACTGACTCCCTGGCTCAGCGGGTGGTGGGAACCAACAGTCTGCAGGGTTCACTCGTGATGTGAGCAGGTGATATGCTGCTTTCCTCCATGTTGGATGTGACAGACTGCCTTGTCTTCGCTTCGCCGCTGCCTCGCTGCCCGTCTGGCTTGCTTCACACGTCGTTCTTTGCAGCTGCTGTATTCACAGTGGTGTTGCCGTGTTGTTGGTCTTGCCTTGTGCTGCCTTGTCGCCCATCCACATGCCTTCCCTCCCGCGTCTTTTGTTTGCGTGCCATGTAGTTTGGCTGCCTTGTTGGTCTTGTGTTGTGCTTCACTGCACTGTTGCCGTGCTGCACGTCCGCTTGCCCTGTCGTCCATGCAGTTTGTTTTTGGCGTTTTGCAGTCGTGTTGCCTTGTGCTTCTCTGAGTTGCTGACCGCTGCTGTGCTCCGTTTGTCGACCGTCTGCTTCCAACAAGGGTCAAAGGGTTCATGGCCCGAATCATCAATACAGGGATTCTGCAGATTGTCGAGGATTCAGCCTCATGATGAGTCGGTGCAACTCCGACGAAGCAATTTATCATCATCAGTTTATATTTTTTTTCGGTTTATTCAACTTTATTGCGTTTGGTACTTGCCTGTTGCTTGTTCTCTTTTCTTTGCCCTGTGTGTTGCGTGGTTGCCCTCCCCCCCCCAGCCGTGCCCTCCATCCTATGTTTTCGCCCTGCTGGTGTTTGTGTGGGCCATTTCTTGTCTACTGTTTGTTGTCTTTCCCTTTGTTGCCCCCTGTTGTTTGGACTGCTTTTCTGGAGTGGGCAGGAATGTGTTGGATGTGAAGGTCAAAGACTTCTTTTCAGGATTACCAAATGGAATGGGTTGTAGTGAATATCTTCTGGGAAGCGGATCAGGCCCTTTTGAATGGAGCCATTGTGTGAGTGGAGCGGCTGATTCATTGTGTGTGTGTGTGTGTGTGTGTGTGTGTGTGTGTGTGTGTGTGTGTGTGTGTGTGTGTGTGTGTGTG